TATTCTGGAGGATTCTGAGTTTCACATCGATGTAGAAAAACTGTCCTGCACTATAATGTGCACCATCTAGAGTACCTGTAAATTGAGATAAATAGTAATCATATTAATCGGCAATATTTTTCTGAAAATTCACTCACTAACTAATGCATTTTAGAATTAAGAGGGTTATCACTTTAGCCTGGTCTCTTGGTCTGCTAACTGCTGATGTACTTAGAACTGAAAGCATTTTTTACAAATGGAAACCAGTTTTTACCATTCTGTCTAGTCAGTTCCCAACAGAACACTAAGACGTCGCTGGAATTCCCGTGGTATTCTAAATATTTATATTGAGGTGTATCACTGTAGTTACTATTTCTGAAACATGTTTTTGTGTGGGTAGGGAAAGGAAGGGGGTGACGGAGGAAGGAGGGGTTTCAGAATGATTTTCCATGTCCAAGTTGGAGCAAAAAAAATGTAATCTGAGACAGAGGTAGTCTCTGCTACCAGTGTGCGAAAGATAGCCATGTTTAAAAGGTAGCTGCTTGTACGGATTTATGTGAAGCTATTATGAAATTCTTACAGTTATGATTCGTCAAGACCTGACCATTCAGCAGGACTGATGACGTTAAAAGATAAAGCAGACAAGAGTCCTGTTCATCCTTGTGCTGTAAAGTAGCTTGCTAATGAGAACTTCAGTTGGAGATTCTATTACAATATAAATGTCAATATCAATATCACGCATTGTTTCTCTGTCACACATCACTCTCGCTCTCACATATGACACATCTGACACCAACACACAGGAGGATCCCTCCGCTGCCCTCCTTACGTCACTGGACACAACGCACTCCTGACAATTTGTATTACAGACCCTCCACTCCATCCTCTTCCCCCTACACACCATGCAGACTCCACACTGGAACACAGGGAGTCATTGCACTTCATCTTTTGTGCCAAGTTTCACTGCTTCCTTGCCAGGCATTGCCCCACTCCTTTGGGTGCCAACACCTCCTGTTAGCCCTGGTGCAGCAAGCCAAGTTGTTCCTCAGTAGCATGCACCTACTGAGGGCTACACACACAACTATCTAGTCTAAGACCTAGGTGCCTCAGTATCTCGTATCCCTCTGAGGCCCTCAGCCCTGTTAGCCAGCCTACTAGACCACCTATCTCTCTCTGCTTCCCTGCTGAAACCTAGACAAGATCTCAATTATTCCTCAGATGGATTGATCAGGATTCTTATTAATCTCAGAGATGTGGCTACTTCCAACCGACCCTACCCTGATAGTTCTGTTCCCTCATGTGGGATTCTACTTCTTCTGAGTGCAAAAGACTCAAATCCGGCCAGCTGCGTTGAATTCTGCTGTTCTTCTCAATTATCAGGTGGCCATCTTGGCTTAAGGCCATACCGTGGAGCATTGGGTTTTGAGCCAAGATGGTGTCTTCCCAAAAAGCTGTTTTTTCCACTATATTACAACGCAAATTGAAAGCTCAGTTTGGTCTTATTCATTTTAATAATGGCTTTCAGCCCAAAATGAATTTAGTATACTCTTCCAAACCTTAATTATTGGTCTCTGAGATAAATTTGTGGGTTTGTAATGTATTTTCAGATAATAAAAGTAGCAAATTCTAACACCAGGTGTTATTCAATATTTTAGCTGCTGTTCTTTTAATAAATATAATTACTTATTATTGTCATAGAGCCTTTTCATACAAGAAACAAATGTCGTCCTAAGGATTCACACTGATTTTTTTTAGATCTTCAATGGTTACCAAATAAGTAATACTTGCACAACATATCCTGTGGGTTTAAGAAGAATTGTTTCAATATGCCACAGTCATGACTGGATTTGCAGTTCTCCTGACTTCCCGAATCAAAGTGACAATGGAATCAAAAGTGCTCATATGATTGCATAAAAACAAGCTTTCACATCATCTACTCTGAGGCACCTGCATCATGCAAATGATGTTCAATGCAGTATCTTTATTTTAAAAAACAAGGCACCTAAATAAAACATTTAGAAATGCTGGTATTGGATCAGCATGCACTGTTGTAAAACAACGGTGCATTCCTGCTGTTTAGCTCTGATCTTTTTAGTGAAATTAAACCTTGTTAATCCATCCACCCATCCATTATCAAACACTTACTTCTGCAAACCCAGAGCCTAGCCCAGAAGTGCAGGGTACAAAGCAGGATGCTTTCCCACCACGAAAAATTATATAGTTTGTGGGATCAGTCTGTACTAAACAGTGTTATTTGCACATACTGGAGGAGTGAAAATTAGGGTATAATAACATATTTAGATCGCAGTTGTAACAAAAGTGATTTTGCAATTCAGGCTCTGACTTAACACATGCTGATGCGTTCTCTGAAGGACCACAAAGGAGGAAAAAATGAGTCTTTGTCACTGAAATAGTTTTATTTTCTGCTTGAGCTGATGATAAAACATTGGTGTCTTGTGTCATCTCTTCAAGGCTTTTCCACTCTTCCCTGTGCCAGGTGCAGCCAATGGGTCTGTCCTTGTCAGACCTGGGGTCATAATCAATTTCCCTTCATAAACTGTATATGTATAATCCCATGGCTTGTAGCAAAACCCAGCTAATGAGAGAGACATTTCATTTACGTTTACATAAGGCTAAACAAAAAAAAAGACTACCGCTAATCCCACAAAGAGCCAGTGTGCGCTCTGTTCCAATGAAAAAACAAGACTGTAAATTTTTCTGTCTGAAACTAGAGACAGCTTTTAGTCGTGCCACGTTTTTAAAGAGCATACTGTTACCACCCAGGCATTTGGGTTTCATATCCAGATGCAGGAGACGTGTTAGCTTGCAGATCTCTGCAAGAACACTGATAACATGAGGAGTAAGACGCAGGGGCTTCGTTTGTACTCAGTTGCCTGATTACCCTTGTCAAAAGAAGGACTGACAAGGGTGGAAACAGCTAACCAGCTCAGAGCTTCTCGTTAGCCTGTCAACAGCCTTTGCACGTACTTGTTCGGTACAATTACTTATCTTGCTTCTTCCACACCAGCAATATTTCCTTTATATGTAAAGAATAGTTCAATACCCTGTCTGCTCAACAAACGAGTTTCGGAAATCTATTTTGATCTGTGTGTTCTTTATCCTGGACAAGAAAAAAAAGGACAGGAACTATGGAAAAAAAACACCTTTTTTGACACAACCTCTCCTTGTTGCAAATTAATCCAGACCATCTACTGCTGAACACGCCGCCAGCCATTAGCACTGTTGCCCTCTCATCAGCATTGGTAATAAAGACTTCAATTAGTATCCACTGGTACAGCTGGTGTGGTCTTTTCACTAACAAATAACATGATCGTTTCGAATGAATGCAAATTTCCTTGTTTGTGTCTAAATCTGAAAATACACTGGATCATTTCGAAAGTTGGAGGATTTCAGTGCATTTCGGGTTAATAGACTACAACCTGACCCTAGGCAAAGGATCGTATGGCCTACACTTTTAGTACGGGATATTTATAAGATCTCAGCAACTCCAGTTTCCATGCTCCCACAAGGCGACAAGATTAGATGCGTCTTGAATGGCATTACATGGGGCTGCAGAAGATTAACATTCATATACAGTAGGTTAATGACCACGGTGTTATTTGGGACTGTAACGAAATCATGGTTGAAAGCAATAGTTCCTTAACAGACAATAATTACTAGCCTATTAATACTTAGAAGACATTTTTACTATTATTTTTTATTCTAGAATGGATATCATGGAAACTAAAATGTTTTAAAGAAATAAGATGAAGGCAGCACGGTGGCGCAGTGGTTAGTTCCTGCCTCACAGCCCTGCGGCCCTGTGTTCAGCTCTGGACCTGGGTACTGTCTGTGTGGAGTTTGTATATCCTTCCTGTATTGGCATGGGTTTCCTCCAGGTGCTCCTGTTTCCTCCCACAGTCCGAAAACTGGTAGGTTAATTGGCTTCTGGGAAAATTGACACTGTGTGTCTGTCCCTGCCCGCCTTGCGATGGACTGGCGTCCCGTCCATGGCGTCCCCTGTCCTGCACCAGTTGCTCTGTGTTCCCTCGTCACCCTGAATTGGAATATCTGATAAGAAAATGGAAACTGATGTATGAATTTAGATCAGATTCAACCTGGTTTGTGACCCCTAGATGTAGCTTAGTGCGGAGTATTTCATGCACAGAGCAAAAAAGTCAAATACAGTATATATAGGAAATGGGAAACACTTGAGTTTGAATAGGTTACAGACAGGTATTTATGCTGACACATTGTCTTCTAGACAACGCAGTGAGGCAATAAGAAACAAAAGGATATGTTATAATACACAGTTGAAAGTGCAGCATTTAAATCCGGAGATTTTGTTAAAATTGTGCAATGCACTAATCAGGTCTCATTTAGAATACTGTGTACAGTTTGGTTGCTTGCAACAAAAAATATATTGCTGCTCTGGGATTAGTCTTGTGAAGACCAGGAAAACAACCAGATACATTCTGGGGCTTAAAGGAATGCCCCGCACTGACGGGCAATAAGAGATGTCCTAGTCTTCTTTGGAACAAAAAGTTCACAAGGAGACCTGATTGAAGTATTCAAAATACTCAAAGGGCTGGATAGTGATTCCTGATTTAGTTAGGAATTTAATTTCTGGTTGAAGACCTTTGCACTGTACTGAAGGCCTGGATACACAGTAAGGCTTATCAAAATAGAAAGAAGTAGATCTGTTAATTCGTTTCAGAATGGTTCTCCACTGAGGAAGTGCATATCATGTACAATTTATGCCTGACATGGAAATCGGCAAACTCCATGTGAATCATTTACTTTTCCAAAAAGACTATCATTCGTCAAATAAACTTGCTTTTGTTCAGTTCACGGCCATAAAATACTACGTTTTGTACTACATTTACATCCATGCAAACAATTAGTTACTTAGTTTTAAGTCATTTTTTTAAAAAGCCTTTTGTATAGTTATGGAATACGACCCAAAACTAGTCACATTTTATTCTTGTACTCTGACAGCACGTATCTCTTGCTTTCCACAGAGGCCCAGAGCAACTGAAGCACCTGCAGAACCAGATCCTCCAGGAGCAGCAAGAGGCCGCTCATCCGCGGCAGCCACCGGAAGTCCCGCCTCCGCCGCCGCCGGCCCCACCTCCCTCTCCTCCACTTCCGCCTCCTCCCTCCTTCCAGGAGCTGGAGAGCAGCCAGCAGGCCCCCGCCCCCATGAGCCTCGTCAACTCGCACGGCCCGGCCAACAGCATGCAGAGCAGCAGCACCTTCAACTACGCGCGGCCCAAGCAGTTCATCGCGGCCCAGACGGCGGGGGGCTCTTCCTCGGGGTACATGACCCCTTCCTCTGGCTCATCCGGCTCCAGCCTGCCCTCTCCGCTCTCCCCGCCGAGCCCTCACAAGCAGCTGAACAAAGTCAGCCTGCCTCCCTTCCAGCATTCGTACCCCTACAAAAGCGACAGCATCGGCTCGCCGGTGTCGCCCTCCTTCCCTCCCCCTCCTCCGCCGTTCCTGGGCTCCCCGACCTCCTTGGCTGCTCCGGACAACTTTCCCCTGCCTCCTCCACCCCCTCCTCCTCTGCCTGTCGTCAGCCCCGCAACGGCCCCCTCCTCTGAGGAAAGAAGTTCCCCCTTCTCTCCGCAGCAGACCTCGGCCGTCTTCCTCAGCTCCATGCTTCCCTCCCAGCCTCCACCACCGCCTCCAGTCAATGCCCTGGGCCTCCCCAAGGGAAACAGCCCCATGTGAGTATAAACCTGTCGGCACTCTGCTATCCAAGCAGTGCCTCAACGCGAACCGCACGCGTTGTCGGAGCCCTCATTCGTCCTCGATACTAAGCTGCTCAGTACAAAGGCACAGCCGTTTACAGCTTGACGCACACAACGTTTTTACCCCCCCGAAATCGCCATATTCCTCTCATAAACATTTACATTGATATAGTTACAGGGAGTCGGCCATTTAAAAAAAAAACACTTCTCTTATAATACAGACAACACTGTGCTTTAGATACGCTGAGGCACCATACTGTAGAACTAATGGATTCAATCAGATAATTCAAACACAGATTCATATACCCAATGATTAACTGATGTAAAAGTCCTGTTGGAATATTATTATTAGTGTTATCAGTATGCAAGCGTTCTACACATACTAGGTACGTAACGTCAAGGGAGAAGCAGCCTAACTGCTTAAAGGCCTCGGTAGAAAAGACAGATCTCCTAAAATGAAATTTCCTCTCGAATCCAGGGAGTCTGTTGCAACCACCCTTAGTTTTTACATTTTGTGATTATGATACAGATGTTTGAAGACGGTTTTGAAAGCATGTTTTAGGTTCATGTAAACACAGGGATGCTACGCATTCTATTAGATGCTAAGCCTAGATTTGTGGTTTAATTTATCGGCCTAGAAGGGCAACGGTGCAGATAAGTCTGAAAAATAACATTTTGTAAAAAAATAAGGCAGGGGATATTTTCATATAGCGCAATTCATATAAACCTTTTTTAAAAAACGTCAGTGATAGCACTACTTAGCGTGGCATCCTGAATGAAGCAGACCTTGTTGCATGAATTGGGGAGGCTGAATTCAATACTATTCAGGCACAACACTAAATTGCTCTGCCATTTAGATGATAATAATAATAATAATAATAATAGCTTACACTTATAGAGCGGTTTTCTGGACACTCCACTCAAAGCGCTTTACAGGTAATGGGGACTCCCCTCCACCACCACCAGTGTGCAGCATCTACCATTTTGAAATCACTGTTTTCCTGTTATGTGATGAACATTTTATCAGGCCAGGCTTCAGTGTAAAGTAAGAACGATACGTTTTCAAAAGATGTTGGCTCATACCCCCTTGTTTTTCATCATGGAGTGATTCAGCCCTGCTGCTTTGCATCTTTGCAGTGCCTCACATTCTTGCGCCCAAGAGCTGAGATAATGTATCGCACCGAATCTGTCAGCAAATAGGAACAAGAAAATGCCAAGATAGCAGGGTCAAAGTTGGAGGGATTAGAGCAAAAAAAAGACAAGAAGGAGGTTAGACATTCAGACAATTTAAGGACAGGCCCTCTCTGATGTTAATGGTCATCTCCAAGCAGATACATTCAGTCGAAACCCCTATCAGAAAGAATCTTATTCCTGGTAAAGGTCACGGAAACTCAAAGCCTCTCCCATTACTGTGCAACTGAACACAGCCAAGCACAGGCAGGGGCCATTTAGAGCCGAGGAACACCACTTCAGTCCTCAAGGGCTGGAATCCAGCAGGTTTTCTAGTTCTCTCTAAATTGTCAACAGCTGAAGAAATGTGCTACACTGACAGTACATTAGGCTAATGATTAGTTCAGCTACAGCATGCAGAAGCGGAATGCCATCCTGAACACGCTGCAGTTCTCCGGGGCGTGAAGATCTACCCCACTGATTTAGAGAGATAAACCAACCTAGACATCATGTCTTTGGGGGGGGGGGGACGGAACATCCCAAGAAGTCCCCCAAAACCCAGGGAGAGCGTACAAACATCATACAGGAGGTGCTTCAGTTTAGAATCTTATCCAAAACAGTAGAGTGACCTGCCACTGCACGTCAAAACAAAAGGAATAAAACTACAGCCTTTCAGTTCATTCTAAGTCACTTTAAGAACAAGAGCAAATAGCCTGAGAACTGCAAACATGTCTGCAGTCACGTCAGGGGCAAGTATACAGTACTGTATATAGGCAAATTTTCAATTAGCTTGTCAGTTGGAGCTGACAAGTGATTAAGGTCCACTTGTCTTTTCTGACATCCTGAAGAGCCTGACTGTCGGTGGAGCTCCTGAATGCCAGTTTCACAGCTCCTTGGTGTGGGGCTCAGCATTAAAAACAACTTTACATAGTAATGGAAATTGAAAAATTTAATTATGACTTAATAATCCTAAAAATCATTATACAGTATGTTGTCTAGAATCTAGAAAGGCTTACCATGAGATTAAGAACATTATTTAAACGTAATGTATACCGTGTATGTTATATGTATATTACTGTTTGTATATTATGAGGCTTGTAAAAATGTATATAAAGAGTTAACATTTATATTTTATATGTAACAAAAATTAAATTTATACTACTGTGCTGACTTATATTTTTCTATGGTCTATACAGTGCATCTTTGAAATAAAGCATTAGCCAACAAAATGTAATAAGGGATTTAAAAGACCAGATAGGGAGTTAAAAAAGCAACAGAAACTTTTTTATTCACAAGAACACTCGAGACTTTGCAATAAATCTCAGATGTGTTCTGAGAATTAAGGTCAATATTGTCTAAACTCTTATGGATCTGTTTGTTATAGGGGATTCTCAAAGAAGGCTGTCAGGACTTCACGGATTGCTTCCGACTCTGAGATTCAGGGCACCAAGGATGCTGTCATTCAAGATCTTGAGAGAAAACTGCGCTTTAAAGAGGAACGTTTAAGCAATGGACAGCAGGTGATCTTGTACTCACAAAAAATAAAGGCATTAACGAGCCATTAACTTGTATTAACAAGCAGATGCTTCATAACTGTACCCTGTAGGCGCACTGATGCTTTAAGAAAAAATCACATGACATTTATATCAATAGCATCCTGATGTCATAATGTTACTAAATATCTGACAGATAACACATAATCCCACAAAATGACTTGTCATAAGACCTGAAACAAAATGACTCAGTATGTGTTCATTTACATCCCATTGCACAGCACAGGATGTTGCTTTAGGCTTACTTGGAAATTCTATAGTTTAGAAATCATCAGATTTCAATGGAAGGCAGATGGGTCACATCCCTCCTTTAGTAATTGGTGACACTGATAAGCAACGTGATGCCAGAAAATGGTTACAGAGCATCGTGTAATTTCAATAAAACACAATGAGGGTGACATGCCATGGAAAGGGACCTATAAGGTCTTCCTTTTCACACTTTTGCTTCGATATAAAGTTCAGTAGTTCAGTTACACCCTAATAAAGGTGTAATAAAGATTGAGAAGAGGTGGGAGTCCAGTAGCAAGATTTATTGGGATGATGCACCTGGCTGAGGAGAATCAAAAACCATCTATCACGATAAGTTGATGAAAACCCCTCCCTTTTCTCAGGGAATTTGCCAAGGAGCTGCTGCACTGGTAAATATAGGCGGACACAATCCTACAACTGAGTCAGCAAGAAACACAATATTAATTTGTAGTGGAAGTGGACAGGATTAGGGTGTGCACTTTGGTTTTAAGCTCCCTTAAAAAACTCATTTCAATTCCCGTTACTTTACTTGCTGTTTCTCTTTGGGGATCTTTGGGTCATAGAGAGTAATTTTTTGCATTTCCTAGTTTGAATAATTATGCTCATTACTGTATCTGCTTAAAAACATTTAAAATACTATTTGTACTATGAAAAAACGTAGACAGCAATAGCCATTTTATACATCATAAAATAATAGTAAAAGTGAAATAAATAAATGAAATGGGTGTAAACACTTGAAATCAATAACAGAACACAACACTTACCCATGCAGAACTCAGAACAACTTTTTAATAAATGTTGTTGTCATGGACAACCTTCTGGTGAGGTTCAGCTCACCAGAAGGAACTGGGTTATATGGGTTAAAAGAAAATGTAACTCAAAAGGGTTACATATGAATCTGTTAGAGGAAAATATATAACTACCTTTAACTACCTTTAAGCGAGGTGGCTTCTATTTTTATAAGTTTTCTGTATTCCCTTAAGTCTTCTAGTAAAAGGAATCCAGCTTTAGTGAAAAAAAATAATCAATTTTATGTAAATAATGATATCAAATTTATAATAAACCTAATTCTGGTTAAAGGGGACTGGTACCTGTAAAAAAAAATATTATAGGACCATGAAAAGCTTACTTTTTTAGCATGGCTTAGCTAAAGCAAATGTGCTTTTAAATACTCTGAGGTTTACAGTGTTACAGGGAGTGCAGGACAGCACTGGTACTTATCCACTAACTGAACGCTGACACACATTAATACTTGCTTTCAGAGATTAACATATGAGGAGAAGATGGCTCGTCGCCTGCTGGGCGCTGACAATGCTGCCACTGTCTTTAATGTACAGGAAGCAGAAGAAGAGCCCACCACACAGGTAGGATCAGCTTCAGAGGGGAAGTCATGACAGATATACTGTGGCAGCAGCTCTATCACCCCGCTGCTCACAGCTGGCAGCCTACTGAAGCTCAGCAGGTGTGAGCCTGGTCAGTACCCAGGTGGGAGACCTCCTGGGAAAAACTAAGGTTCCTGCTGGAAGAGGTGTTAGTGGGACCAGTAGGGGACGCTCACCCTGTGGCCTCCTACGGATGAGATGTAAACTGAGATCCTGACTCTGGGTGCAATTAAAAATCCCAGGACATTTCTCAAAAAGAGAAGTCCTGTCCAAATTTCCCCCTGGCCTTTACCAATTTTTGCTTTCTGATAATCCCCATCTATGAATTGGCTTCATCGCACGGTTCTCCTCCCCACTGATAGCTGGTGTGTGGGGAGTGTACTGGCGCACTATGGCTGCCATCGCATCATCCAGGTGGATGCTGCACATTGGTGGTGGTGGAAGGGTGTCCCCATTACTTGTAAGGTACTTTTGAGTGGAGTGTCAAGAAAAGTGCCATATCAGTGTAAGGAATTATTAAATTATTATTGTTATTATTACAAATGCGGTGAAACACAAGCTGTCAGCTATGCATAACATAAACTAAAGCGGAGCAGCATTTAATTGCAACTGTAATCCCACCAAAACAGTGCAGACTACAGCTGCATGCATAGCCTGAATGCACTTATCTGGAACAAGGCTTTTTCCGACAGGGGGGGTTTCTTCATTCCCGACACATTTTAGAAAGTGTCTTCCTCCTCTCTTTTCGTGGGGGTACGACATTTGAAAAGGGAGCCCCATCCTGCGTAGCCTGACTCATGTGACTGCTTTTTTTTGGTGGTGTGGGTGGTGGTGATGATGATGATAAATACATCTGTGTGAGTGAGTTTCATTAGCTCCCATATTTTGAGTGAGAAGATTATTTATTTTTACCTTGAGCTCCTGGGGGTGGAAGTTCTTTGGTCCTCTTGGAAATCAAGGAGTTTGCACACAAAAACAGCCTGTTCCCCACGGCTGGTTCCCATTTCTGTATCAGTTGTATTGTTTGATGTTATTTTATAGGGATTTAATACTTATTTTCACATTGCATGTTTTCTTGTTCCTTTGTTTTATTCATGCAGCCTCACATAAACACCCAATACTGAAAAAGCAATGATAAGATGTAAATATGTAAATTAAACGTTTGGTCCCTGATTGTGATTTCTATTTGCTAGTGTTTTATAAATAAGAACCTCTATGTAACAAATAGAATATATTATATACGTATTTCAGTATAGTGTACAGTATGTAAGACTTCTTTATACCCAAAGAAAACATGCTAGAAAAGTCCAGGTCCATAAATGTTCACAACAGAGCTCAGAAGGGATGATAGTGGCCAAGTTCAATTTTGCCTCAGCTGTCCTAACTTGTAATCGTTGCTGATATCATTTCCTAAATAAAAAAAACCCTATAAATACAATATATGAGCCTTTCCCCCTTCACATTTATCTTCTGCATCCCTCTTGGACCTCCTCATGGGGGTCCCAGTGTTTTTGTCTTATGGCCAGTAGGTTGGCTCTCAGCCAAGAGGCTCTGGCCAGATTTCATATTCTTATTGCAATGTGTTGACAAGATATTTTAACTCCATCACTGCTACCATAACAGACAATGATATGGGGTGCTGGCATCATTACTCAGGTGGAGCACTTTCTGGTGTGCAATGTGCAGTTCAGTGGGCTGAATGTAAGACGAGTGACTTAGGGAGCAGTTTGCTGGTGCTTGTGTGGTGAATATTGCCCAACTCAAGTTGTGGGTGCCATGTTTTGAGGAAATGTGCAGAACTTTCATGTCTAGTGAGCCAGGACAAACTCGTTACCTCTCCAAGGTTTCTTTGAACAAAAGCAAAAGCTGAGAGGACAGGCTTTAGCAATATAAATAATCTGTGTATTGGCACAAAGTAACATTTGATTTTAAATGATTATGTCTGAACTGTGTATATTGAAACTGTGTATATCTGTATTATATCTTATATTATTCTTCAATAATTATTGTATTGTGGTCGGAGTATATTCTATAGGGTAATTATATGGAGTATATAGAATGTATTGTATTGTATAGGGTGCACAGAATGTGTTGTTGTTACAGTATGTACCTTATCGAAATTAGTCTTGTAGTCTGTAGTTTGTCCATCTATGTTTGTCCTTTGTCTTTACTGAAGCTGAATTTTCTTTGGACCAGAAATATTACATAAATATGTTTCTGATCTGAGTTTAAAACAGCAACGGAGATAAACATTTGCTATTTCTAACTATCAGGTACAATTAACCTTTTCCATACATTGAGCTGCCTGTGGACACCCAAATAATCAACCTCATACTTCCTGACACTGATGACACTGACATTGATGTCAGCTTGTAATTGAAAAGTTATGTTACACGTGAAGGCCTTTCCAGATGATTCCTAGCTATTATTATAACAACAAAGAATTCTGAATTTATTGGGCGTCTTTTTTCATTACTTTGAGAATCTCCTTGTGCCTTATATACAGTATTAACAACTTAAAAAAAACAATTCTGTAAAAATTGGGTGAGGCATTGCTAAGCTTTGAGTGCATTTTTATGAGCCATTAGCATCTGTGTTTTGCATATATCACCAATTTGTGATTATCCATGGTTGAATGCATGCAATAGTTTCTTTACGCTCATAAAATAAGGGGAGTTGGTCTGAGAGAACGAGAAGCACAGTTGTATTCTGAAGGGAAAGGGACCAAAATAGCGTAGGGAGATTATTGTTCTCATTCTCTTGCTGTTAAGCAGCCACATGTTGAGTCGTTTTCTGTTCCGTGCGGAGTGAGAGTGAGAGGAGTGTTGCTGGAAGTGTGCTCTCGTGTTGTGTGTTGCAGGAGTACAAGGTGTCGAGCTTTGAGCAGCGTCTAATCAGCGAGATCGAATTCCGCCTGGAGCGCTCCCCAGTCGAAGAGTCTGATGATGAAGTGCAGCACGATGAAGGGAGCTCACCTGGCCAGCAGGTGGCTCCCTTCTTTGACCAAAAGCTCAAGCATTACAAGGTCTTTGAGGGCATGCCTGTCACTTTCGTCTGCAAAGTCATCGGAGACCCTAAGCCAAAGGTAAAGGGCAAGTCAGTGAGTAAACACGCAGCACGCTGAAACACACATCACTTTGAATATGCTGTATTGTCCCTGATGATGAGCATGAAGATACATAAATACAAAATTCTGCACACACATGCTACTCAATCTGATTTTGTGTGAGCAAGTATCCGCTCTGCTCTTAATGTCTCCCATATTTTGCGTGAGAAGTTTATTTAATTTAACTTAATTCAATTTAGGTTTGTTTAATTTTACCTTGAGCTCCTGGTGAAGGTCCTTTTGTTCTCTTGGAAAATCAAGACGTTTAAACAGAAGAGCAGCCTGTTCCCAAGGCTTGGTCTCCATTTCTGTGTTAGACATCTTGCTTGATGTTATTTTACTCTTTTGCAGGCTGGGATTTAATACCTATTGGAAAAGATTTTGAATATGCTGTATTGTAACTCTGGATATGATATGTGTTTTGAGACCTAAATGCTGTTGGGATTCTCAACAATACAATGCACATACTTTCTGCTGGAAAGTCCATGACATTGTCTTATGATTAGGCCTCATAACTAAACAGTTATTATCCAAGAATTTGGGACTTGCGTAATGTGGTAATTTTGTACTGCCTGTCTTTGGCAGATTTACTGGTTTAAAGATGGCAAGCAGATCTCCAAAAGGAGTGAGCACTATAGGATCAGCAGGGAGCCAGATGGTACCTGCTCTCTGCACACTGCTGCTGCCTCCCTTGATGACGATGGGAATTATACAATCATGGCAGCCAATCCAGAGGTAAGCCATACCAACAACACCCAACAGTAAAGCTTTTTTGTTTGTTTGTTTGTTTTGGCAATTCGAGAATTTCTAACTTTCATAAGTGCTTCAGCTTCAATAATTTAAACCATGGAAGCAGGGCTAACTTTTATCTTGAAAATATTATATATGCAAGGGTGCAGATTTCGAAAGCTAGGCAGGGAAGCTGTACTGGGAAGGAAGATCTCGAAGGAAAACCAGGCTTCTGCTCTAAGTGATGAGGAGATGCTCTTCTCTCTAGACCAAAAATTACAAATCACTGAATTGCACCATCCTCCTGAGTGATACTCATAAGCAGCATAGGATGTGTGATTAATGAATAGTCAGGACCCCTGTTTTCTCTGATCACCATACCTGGATATAGGATGTATCAGATCTTTTTCTAAAGCTTTGGGATGAAAACCCATTATATACACTAGTTGCAAAGAATTATAATTACCTACGTCCAATCTACGTATAAATATAGATGTGCATACAGTTTATAAATGACCTTTCATGTTTCATGCTCTTTGATTCAGTTATAAAAGTGCATTTCTCTTACACTGACAAATAAAACTTCACGATCACATGCAGTTGAAAAGCTAGTGGTGAGAGCAATGGGGAATGACTAAAGGATTGCAGGAAGGTCATGCACTCAAGCTGCTCCAGTTTTACCAGTCAGTATTACTCACAGTACTTATTCAAGGCTGTCTGAAGAAAGCACCCACAGAGTAATAGATAGGAGCATGTAAATTGTGTATGTGTAAAACTAGGCTGTAAACGTCTTGTGCTAATCCCCTACACACCCAATTTTCAGGGGTTTGTCTTCCTGTTTTGATGCCATATAAGCTGTAATGTGGCTGTGGTTTCCATCGTCTTGTGGTTACAGTGGCTGCAGTAGTGAAGGTTTGTCTGGAAAAGTTCAGATTTTTCCATACCACCATTGCATAGAAGATACGTTTAATGGCTTTCACTAAGCCCTTACTTTCTAATTAGAAAGCCACCAACGGGAATTGTTCTGCGTGTTTGCAGTTTGTTTCTGACTTTTGGTACTCTGGTTTCGGGATGTTTCAACACGCCTGAAATTTGAAATCCTGCAGAAGAGTTGGGAATTAACACAACTAGTGGCAAATTTAGATTTTAAAAAAAGTATTGTAGGTAGTGACATGAAAATCTTTTAAGCTAGGTAAAGCTCGCCAAAGCTCAGTGGAAAGTAAAAAATGGTCTATTTCAGAAAATGTCTTGCTGTTTAACTGTTTGCCCAGACTGGGCCAAAGTATGTTCTAAAACAGAGCAGATAAATATGGGATGGAAAAAACACAATTTTACCACTATCAAGGGAAGCCTGCATGCTTTTATGCAGTATGGTTATTTATTGTTTATCATGTAGTACTCTAAAGATAAAAGTGGAAGCTTAATGGCAGACCACATACTGTGAAGTAGCTTCAGAGGCAATTGTGGTCTGTATCATATGCCCAGGAGCCTGTTGAACAAAATGGCTAATAACTCTTAATAGGTTGTTGACAGCATAGTGTTAATATGATACCAAAGTTTGTTACCATTTATCAGTTTCAAGAGCCTTTGTTTGTTTATAAATCATGTCTGGCTGTGAAGGCAGGGTTTAATTATCAAGATTGTCATCCTCTCTGGCACATAACAAGACAGTCATTTGTTATGTTTCCTCAACTGAAGCCAATTCAGAAAACCATCTGAAAAACTAACCAATTTTTAACTATTCTGAAAAAAAGGAAAACAACATTGAACATAGAAGGGACCAACTTTAGCTTTTCTGGATAGTTAACTTTAAGAAAGAAGAAATCAGGCAATTAGGCTGTATGTTTCTTCAGAGAATTATTAATCCAGTTTATAGTGTTACTCACGACAGGAAGCACAGCAATGTTGTCAGCAAGAACTCAAAACAAGTCAAAACAAGATAAGCTGATGACATTACATCCCTAGAGAATTCAATGTTTTAACAACACCAACAAACTTAAACCCAAGTTTCTAGCATCTGTTTTGACTGAGCACATAACCTTTTATTTTCCAGTAGACTTCCCTCAGATTGCGTTCTGCTATGCAAAACAACTGCTCATGAAACCCGTAAAGAATGTTATTAGGAACAAGTACGCTATTATTGATGTGCAAGTTGACCACACTTGGATAACTTTTTTTTCCTAGCAAAACCTAAATTTACAGAACACGTTAAAGTTAAACACATTAAAGTCTTTAAAGAAGTTTAAAAAAAATTGCTGTAATTGTTCCCTCTTTTATTTTGAAATGTTCCCTGAAGCAACGCTCAGGAGCCCAAAGTTAGTGTCAGTACTGCTGACCTGATGAAACTGCACGATAAAGCTAGCTGTGGTTGACGTTTCCCATCAGCTTCCTCAGTCAGTTCACGGCCCCATTGGCAGAGCAGCTCATGGGAGAGGGCTTGTGGGTTTTGGGATCCTGACTCTTGGTGTCTCTCCGGCTCTCTCTGGCTCAGGGCAGGACAAGCTGCACGGGCCGGATGATGGTGCAGGCGGTCAACCAGAGGGGCAGGAGCACTCGTTCCCCTCCAGGACACACCAGGAGGTGGGTGATTGAGGAGTGGGGGGGGGGGGAGACACGTTCCTGAGGCTTGCTGTAAAAGTGGAACTCAGAAACGGGCATCCTCTTTGTGGCTGTCAAAGGAATGTGATTGTTGTACTGCTGTCAAGATTCTCCACAGGGTGAAAGCTTTTGAGGGGCGAAGGACCAGGGGGAAAGACTTACAGATTTGGAACCACCACCCACCCCACCAATCCTTCGAGATTCATTCTCCTTCCAATTACCCGATCATTCTTTTTGGTTTAAACAGCAGCCCAATCAATCAACTTCACTCTGCAATTTTCAAGAGTTTTCAGAGCGGGGGTCATCACAGGGTTACACCAAACCCCCCCCCTTCTTTTAACATGACATCAGCTGCATACTTTACAGTAAGTGGTAAGGAGCCAGATTTGAAGCCAACAACATATTAGCCCCAAAGCCTTTCTGCCCTGTAGGTCTCAAAATGCAAAAATGTTTTTTTCAAAACAGCTTTCCAAGCCGGTTTAAAATTCCTCACTTTCCACAAATGTTTTTTAAGTTTGTGTTTGATTTTCTGGAAATGCTGGGATAGGATTACATTTTCCCCAACCCGAAAGACGTTTGCCATTATTTTAACTGGTTTCATGTTCTGGTTTCAAGATGGTTACAATTGATGTTTAGTTATGTGGTGAAACGGAATAACATTTTGCTTATTTTTCTAAAATGTTGCTTTATTAACATTTTGTACTGTAGGCATACAGTTAGCAGGCAGTTATTATGGGTGACTACCTGGAGATTTTTTATAAGCGTATTAACATTTTTCAAGAAGAGGTAATTGGATATTTTCAGTTGGGTAATAATAAAGGTAGCTAAAACTCTCCAAACAACCTCAAATGACGGGAACTAGGAGGCCGATAATGAAACAATGTCTAGAAAGTGTCAGACTGGCTAAATTAAGGAAAAATTAAAGACATTTAAAGCAATTTTTTTAAAAAAATAGAAGGACTGGTTTGGTAAGTCGTGACCTCTTCAAATATTTTTCGAAGAACTTACTGTTGAGATTATTAATAAGACAGTATTTGCCTTTGAAAAATAATGGATTACTTCCATAGGAAAAGACTGCTTTAACATACAGTATATTATACATGTGATCTATTAGTTTACTGCATGTTGAAGCAAGGCTAAGGATTGAATCCTTTTCGCAAATGTTCCTTACCAACAACTGGAAAGTAGACAATGGAATACAAACACATGTGTGACTGAAAGCAAAGCACATCCTTGTGAGAGCATTTGCATTCCAAGAAATTGAGCATAAGAGGAAGGTTTATAGTATTATTATTATTATTGTTGTTGTTGTTGTTGTTATTATTATTATGAGGTATTAGCAGAAAAACTGGCTGTAGCAGGAAGAGGAGGAAGAAAAGTACTCAATGAATGTGCAGAAACTACCGTTTGTCTCCTAAAACTAGAAGCCTTCAAATGCAAGCCTAGGAGTGCTTTAGCAGGGTGTACCTCAGTAGGTAGACACAGGATTGCAGTTATCTCTTCAGCATCTTTCACCACCACTACCACAAAACCAAAATAAAGAAAAAACCTTTAGCAGGCTCCATAATCTTCCTCTCTTTTTTACTACCAGGGCGTAACAGCTTGCGAGGTGTGAAAGGGAGGAGGGAGCATTAGGTCACCTCTTGGAAAGCTTTCCATTAACAAGTTCTTGTGGTTTGTGCGGTATCTCAAAAAAACGTTTACGGGACTTCTGACAGGTCACCTGAGATAAGACTACACATGAATGACGTATGCCGTCTGACAGGTCACCTGGGATAAGACTACATGAATCACACATTGGTCTACTTTGCAAATAGATTACTCTGAAATACCTTTGTGGAGTAAAACCCACATGCTTTGTTTCATCCTGTCTAAATGATTTGCCTCTTAAAACTTTTCAGAATATACAGAGGTCAAAGAACATGATCTGTTAAAAGTACAACTTTTTTTTTTATAGCGGTGGATTTATCCATCTCACGAAAACAGATGTACCCCTTCTAAATTTGGAGAATTAAAAATAACTCTAAAGGCTTAAGGTCATCTTAATAGTAAAAAAGTAAATAGAACATGACAGACTTAAGGGGCGACGTCTTATGAACATTGTGAACAGTGTTTTTTACTCCCCAGAGCATGTAACTGTTTTTTTTCTCATAGTGCAGACTTGTGTCAACTAGCCAAAATGATTTTCCTGCAGTTGTCTGCCTTTTATGATCAAGTCATGGCATTTGACCTAGAGGACTTCATTTAATATTTGTGTAAAACAAAAGCCTCAAAATAGAGAACTGCAATAATTTAATGAGTACAAACACAGTCTGTCTAATACACTTTGTATACCCAGAAACCATATCAAAAAGGGCAACAGCAAACGATGCCACTGTATCAGTTTTCCTTGACTAGCTGCTTGCAGTAATTAACTAGTGAGAATGGGTGGGCTTCACAAGAAATCTGTTCTTATAAGGCAGAATTGCAAGATGGAAGTTAATGTGGCACACCCTTGGTTTGCAAATGGAGTTACTTACTGAAAGGATTGACTTCTCCAGCGAAATCACCCGTTCCATCTGACATTAACGTGTAGCTTGACGTGAGCTGATGATGTCAGAAGTGCCATAGCACCGGTGAGGCCAAATGAGGTCCACAAGCCTCAAAAACGATGAACGGTCTGATGAAGCACACGTTTTGTGATGTTAGGTATCGGGGAATTCCGAAAGGCACTGTGAGACTTGCGGCTCATCTGTGGTAATCACTCAGAGGCTGTGTTCTGTCTCAGACCTAGGTCACGGTCCCGGGACAGCGGGGAAGAGAATGACAACATCCAGGAACGTCATTTCCGACCACATTTCCTGCAGGCACCCGGGGACCTGATTGTCCAGGAGGGCAAGCTCTGTCGGATGGACTGCAAGGTGACGTCACGGCTCTCTGCTGTTTGACTTTGGACTTTAATCATGAAAGGAAAGGGAGAAAACATTAGCTATAATACTGTATGTGTGTGCACTTATGATCTGGCTTCAGTAAAACACTTCCTCTTAGCATGTTTCATGGCCAAATGGGATCTTCAAAATCAGTCTATCTCACAGTTTCAGATAAGAACTGTTCTGACATGTTTTTGCTGATCACAAAAAACCTGCCTAGTAACAAAATGTGACTCCTCAAATTCCGTTTTAAGTTCTATTGCTCGAGAGAAGAAAGAAAACGAGGAATCATGTGCATTGTTGACATGTTGGAGAAAAAAGCCATTTTCAATTTACTTTGGGCCTTTACTTGTTCTTAAACAGCAATGCAAGAAAAATCAAAATATCAAAACAGACACTTTTTTTAAAATGGAAGTCTACAGTATATGTCTATTGCGAGCCTTTAAAACTTGTGTTTGTTTTCCCATTACAAATCTTGCAAAGGCTGGCTTCTCAAAGGAGTAGTTAAGCATTGATTGCTGTCTGTCAGGAACGATGGAAGTTGTATTGACAGAATTTGTCAAGATTAGTATGTACTTTCAAATCTATTTATTATTTTTTTACATCAATTTAATTCTTAGAAATCTTTCAGTAAAACACCGTTGGCAACATGAACTCGAATTTCTTGTCATCGTTATTGTTTTAGTATCAACAAGCTTAAGCAACAGGAATTACGTTTTAACTGTTGACCTTTTTCTCAAACTTTCATGAGGAAAAAATGTTTTATGATAAGACTTTGTTATTTGTAATTTCAGCTTAAAACGTGTGGCTGTAGCCAAAACCAACGTAATTTCATACCATGTTTTTGTAATTCTGTACGGTACTGTATTTAATGTAAACAAATACACATGCATAGAATATAGTACAATATTACATCATTAGGAATATGTCCAGAAATACTGAACTGCTGGCAGTACTGCATTCCATTGATAAAAGCTTCACATGTATAGGGGTAAATTATACAAGAAAAGCCAACACTCAGCTCTGAGTGTTCATGAACCTAGCCTTATCCTTCTAGAGGTTTCTAGGCTGAAACCTCTATTAGTTAACATCATAAGAGGAGGCAGCAGCAATCTGGGTCTGTCATGCCTGGTTCATGTGGCTGGAGTGCTGTCTCTCTTGGCCTGTTTACTTGACTGATTGACATGCATAGCACTGTAGGAATAGGCCTTGTCACAGATGACATGAGCAACAGCCTCCAGCCAATAAGAAGCTCCACCGTTTGAATTAGACTGTTTAAAATAAAAGTAACCCCAGTCTGCAGAGCTTTGTTCTACTACTGGGCTATCTGGGCTACAACTCATGATTTGAGTTAAGTCTCCTTTGTGGACACAGCTGTTACATTCTTGAGCAATACACTTTATCTTGAGTGCTTCAGTCTGCCCTTTACCTCCATAACTGGGTACCAGCTTTCAAAAACCTGCGATGGATGATCTAGAATGAGTCTTGTCTTCTCAGTTCACACCCCAGCCCTACAAGCCGTTAAAGTCTTGTAAGGGACTTTACTTTTTCTATCTGAAATGATCTATTAGTAATTTGACTGTATACCTTGTAAGCATTAAGCATGATGAAAATATAACGTTATGAACTGTTTCAGATTTGGCAGTGCTTTAAGCAAACCTATCATGCCTTAGTTGTGAGGCATGGATGGATGTTCAGTTCTTTGTGCAGGAGCACACATCGTGAAGAGCCTGTTGTGATCTCAGCCATGGCTCTGCATGCGCAGGGTATATTATACTTCAGTAATGTTCAGTTCCAGACATGAGGCTGAAACTGGACTGCCAATGCAATTTGAACTTAAATGAAGTTCCCTAGTGAATTGAAATTAGAAACAGTGGAGAGATGTTCCTGTGCCAGTGAGCACACAGAGCCAAGCAAGCTCTGAGCAGCGCTCAGCGTGCCAGCATGCCTACAGGAAACTGACTCACTTCCAGTAAGACTGAGAAATTGCTGCATTGCCTTTTTATTCCACAGCAGTTAGTGTCCAGTGAACATGTGAGAAATGTGTTGATTGCAGTGGTTACAAAACCAGCTGAAAAAATATCCAGTGTACTTCCAGGTAGCAAATATACAGTAGTTTGCTTATCATTATACAGAACAGATGACCAGTTTGAAGCAACCAAAGAACATGTATATTGTGTGTCAATGTAAAAGCTGAAGTATATGGATTAAGATATACATTGGATGAATTTTTAGTCAATTCATATCATTGTTTGGGTTTCTAAGGCTCTCAGTGCTTTCTTAAACGTGAGAAAGCTTTAGCATACTGTAAGTGGGGAAACGATGCAATTTACTACTAATTAGCCTAATGCTGTCCCTGTTCTATTTAAGTAATGTTTTTGTGCTCATAGGAATTAGTACATATACTGTATACAGGTTAGTGGACTGAGCACATTACAGTCATTATATGGCACAATTAAATGGATATTAGATACTTCCCCCTTTTTTACAGGAAAGCAAAGGAAACCTGTCTTTGGATGCAGTCCAGAATAAGCAGTTATTTAATACATCCCACAAGGACATTATTGAACTTATTAACCAATAAACAATTAAAACTGAACACACACAGCAGTGTGCATCACACCATTACAGCAGTAATGGTGAACTGGCTGTATTGGAAGGACCAAAGAGAACAAATTGCATGTTGGACGTCTTGGAAACATTTCAAAAAAGCTTTTAAATTTTCCGAACAGTGGGCTAGATTCTTCTGTATGTTTTTTTAGCAGGATGTTGTGTATTTGGTAATAAAAGAGAGCACACAGCTACAACTACTGCAAGGAAATGTATTAAAAGACATTCATAAATTCTCTACATTTTCTCTCAGAAGTTATTTTTGAGTATTATCAGGTCTGTGATGAGAACTATGTAGGCCACACACTATAAGAATATACCAGGACATTGTGTTGCTGAAAAATGTGGTTCAAACCGAATATCATTGTGAATTACACAAGTGGTCTGTATTGCTGTGCACCTGAAAGAGGTTTAAGCTTCTATGATAACTTTCAGGTATGCAAACTGTGAAAGAGAATAATTTAATCACAAGATGGCATTTCTTGTGAGAAAAAAATAGAATAATCTTTTTTCTGGTGGAATATGATACTACTGTACATATGGTTTTGTTCCACTTCTTCAAATGCTCTTAAAAATGCAGCAATTAAGATTTTTTTGTGAAATGTTTTTTTAAAAAAACAATAAATGATAGTTTCTGGTATATTTTCTCTTTGTAATGTAAACCACATTAAAAAAATCACATTAACCACTGTTCCGTCATATTCAGTCAAGTATTTGTTTCACTCAGTAGAATTAATCACTGGATGTTGCTGGTCTTCTTTGCCTTCAGCAACTCCCACAACAGTACGTCTTATCCATGTGCTTTTCCTGTGGTAAATTTCTTTTCCCTTTCATAATATCATGGAGTTAGGGATAAAATGACCATGCTATGCAGCAAATCAGAAATGGTGTGGTATTTTAATTTTAAAAATCAATCATTTTTCCTTTACAAATTCCTTTCGATCTCGTACACTGTAGGGTGAATGTGCTTGTTTTCAATTGCAGGTGAGTGGATTGCCAACACCAGATCTTATTTGGCAGCTGAATGGCCAAACTATCCGGCCTGACAACTCTCACAAAATGCTGGTGAGGGAGAACGGAGTGCACTCTCTCATCATTGAGCCAGTAACCTCCAGAGACGCGGGCATCTATACCTGCATCGCAAGCAACAGAGCTGGGCAGAACTCCTTCAACCTGGAACTTATCGTCGCAGGTAAAGGCGTCACTCAAGTGGCTACAGTAGATTCACCTGGCCCAGAAGCGACCAACATATTCCGCTCTAAAACACTTTCATTGTGGTAGAATTTGAACTGCAGCAGCAAACAGATTTTAAATGATTAAATAATTAAATGCTCCACCACACTCAACCAAAAAGGAAATCTGTCCATTAAATAATGTTTCGGGATTGTTAGAAGAGCAGGGAGTGGGGTGAGGGTGGAGGGGGGGTTCTTTTGTAATGTATCAGGTATTGTCATTTTCCAGAAGGTGTCAATTCCATGGAGTCTGAGGTGTCTAGATTCTAGGTGACAAAAAAACGTTTTTTTTTATCAGTGCGGAAATCCCTTAAGTTAAGGGCCATTAAGGGTCATTAAGTCGGATTATAGGAAGAGACCTTCACAACAAACTGGGGCTTACATGTACTGCTCCTCAGCAAAAGCTACACAAATGCAAACATACAGTACTGTAGCTCAAATACGAAATTCCAGCCCTGTCCTGAAAGGTTGACGTTGCTAAGGAATGGATTCTGTTTTTTTTTTTGCAGCTAAAGAGATGCACAAAGCCCCCGTCTTCATTGAAAAGCTGCAAAACACAGGTGTAGCCGAGGGTTTCCCTGTACGCTTAGAGTGCCGTGTGTCCGGGGTGCCATATCCACAGATTTTCTGGAAGAAGGAGAATGAATCTCTTACTCACAATACTGATAGAATCAGGTAAGGGCATTGCAGAGTATTTCTTGCAGTGGTCCGGTCCTAAAAAACACAAAATTTATAGCTCTTTAATAGAATTTTGACAATGTTCAAAATCTAAAATACTGTAACTTCATTAAAAAAAGCTGCAGGAAAACTGTCCAACAATATAATTGTCGCTGACAAACACAGTCCTTGTAATGGTTTGCGAGTAAGCACAATGAATCTGCATCTTATGTGTTGTTTAGAGTTGTAAAAATGCACATTTTGTGCAGAATCGGTTATTTTGTATTGTGCCTTGTATTTTTTGTACACGTATTTCTGATGATAATATTGTCATTTTTTCGACCAAAAAACTCCAAATTGCATCCAGAATATTTTAGGAGTTTGTATGACAGCCTAAAGTGCTGTTCTTTCTTTCTCTGTGATTTTGAAAGATTTCAATTTTGAATAAAGCAAAACAAGACATAGCAAGTTAGCTTTAATTACTCCCCCCTCTCCACACAAGTTTCACATTGATCTATGGTGCGTTAGCTTCTCTGATTTGCTGGTGTTTTAGAAGCCTAACCTAACAACTCGTTCCCTTGAATCTCTTCAGCATGCACCAGGACAATCACGGATACATCTGTATGATAATACAGCCGGCAAAAAAGGAGGATGCTGGCTGGTACACCATATCTGCTAAGAACGAAGCTGGAATTGTCTCAAGTACTGCTAGGCTGGATGTCTACAGTAAGTTCTGGGTGTGCCAGTCACATTGTGAAGCCCTTTTCACTGTTAATTTGTGATATATACTTCTCTATCATTAATTAGCATCACAGGTAGCTCATATCTATGAAGATGTAATAAAAAAAGTCCACAGGGTCTTGCTAAAGTATTCGGCTCCTTCCAAGGTTGAACCATTTTGTTGAATTGGAAGTGATGTCTGCACTTTTGTTGATAGTGAATTTTTTCATCACAACTTGAAATGTCAAGATGAACACATTTGTGGATTAAGCATTCAAATTTGATATGAAAACCCCCTTCACCCATCAGAGTTCCTACCTCAGGTCCCCCAGAATCCAGCACTGAAGCTTAAGAACTACAACAGGTGCTCCTACAGTGTATGTGCCACCTTAGTCACATCCGGCCACAGCCAAGCCAAATGCTCCACCCTTCTTCCCCTGTAGCTCAGTGGCAGCAGCACTCGCAGACGCCCAAGCCGAAGAAGGTGCGCCCGGCGGCCAGCCGTTACGCGGCGCTGACGGAGAAAGGACTGGACGTCAAGGCGGCCTTCTTCCCCGAGGCCAACCCCATCAGCCTGCTCACCCAGCCCGAATTGGTGGAGAGCGACGACCTCTAAAAACCAGAGGGGCGCCCCCCCCCTCCACCCTTCGAGTGCCGGACCCAGACCCTGCCCCGGACTCGGATTAAGGAAGAAGCCGTGCTCAAAGAGAAGATCCTGGCCTTCGAACGTGACCACGCTCATAGACCCTGCATTCACTCTCGGCTCACCGGCGGATGTGCTGGCATACAGAGTCCTGAATGAAATAATGCACTGCAAAGGTTTCAGCTCCTATTTACTTGCATCAGATTTTGATTGTTTCAAGGATACTCTACTAGACTGTAGCCACACTATCCATTAAATAAGTATTCGTATTAGTCTCATGCAACATTTAAAGTCAGGTAAATGTGCTACGTGCCAGGTTTCTATTGCATGGTTTTTGGATACAAAACTCATATTTTCTAAACAGCTGGCACAGCACAGGTAGGCTTTTTTATTTTAATATAAAGTGGCTAGAGTAGCTCAATATGTGTATCGTTTTCAGGTATCACTGCGTACACATCTTATTTTTGAATACTGAAAATAAAAAAAAAACCGAGTATACAACGCATGTACTTGCAAGTTCCCTGTTCTAGAAGAACGGGTTAGTTTTCGAGAAAAAAAAAAACAGCAATATTTACGTCACTCTATTTTTCAGGTTAGTGATGAAATAAGTGCCTTTGTGCAATTTAATGTGACGTGTACGTACATCGCAGTAATACACAGTCATATTTTTCATCAAATGTGTCGACTCACAATGCATGTTACGAGGTTGTCGTTTTTATATGAGAATCCTGAGGGTTCCACATTCTTAGTGATACAGAATAACGTGAATCACAGGGAGGGCAAGTGGAATAAACAAAATCATCCCTGCCTAGGGGACAGTGAACAAAGATGCTGAAATGGCTGTTTTTCTTCGTGGTGCCTTAAGGTGTAAAGCAGTCATTTCAGCAAGATCTTATGCAGTATACAAATACAGAACACCTTTTGTTTTTTACGTGTACCATTTTCTCATTACAGCCCACATAAACAGCTATAGGTTTTGCACAAGGTTGGGTCTCCTTTCCTTTTTTTTTTTGCTGAAGCTGTTGTGTAATTAGTAAGAGAGTTTTTGCCAAATGTTACCAGTTCCATGGAAAGCGTACTGTGGTTCCTGTGATAAGTTGAGCGAGTTAGTGCAGTAAGTTGATAAATGGATGTTGTCTGCTAGTGGGGAATGCGAGGTAAGCGCAAAGCAGAGCCCGGCAATCAAACCTGTAGATAAGTAGCTAATGTAGGGGTGGATAGGTTAAAGCAAATGTCAGACAAATGAATGAAATGGGTTAAGACATTAATACTCAAGATTGTTTACTTTGCCTTTGTTCTTTGAGGCCTTTAGTCTTCAAATACCTAAAGCAAGAAAGATAGGTTTCATTGTGGAGGTCACACGCAGCTCCATGCTACATTTATTTTTTGCATAAGAGAAAAGAATTAACAACAGCTTTACGCAGAAACTTTCAGTACAGTATTTTGTAATCCCTTTGTTTAGGCAAATGCATACCCTAAGCATGATTCCTATTGTCAAATGGGTTCCTATAAATTATAGCAGTGCCTTGAGGATCACTTTAGCATATTTTGAATTATTTATATTTGTGCGTGAACTACATTGTAGACTTTGTTTTTTAGGTACTAAGGCTTACTTTTATAAAGTCATTTGTGCAAGGATCTACAGGCAAAGTAGGAAAGCAAAACATTTTAGAAAATAAAGCTTGCAACTACTACAGACACTTTTTGCTAACAAGAGCTAATATCTCTTAACACAAGAATTTACATATTTGGTTAAATATTCATTCTATCCCAGGTAACAAAATGCATCTCACTAATACCTGTTCATCTCCACAGATTTCATCACTGTTTCATTATATTGTGTAAGTTAGTTCTATAGTACTATTTTTGTCACCTTTTTGTTTCCATGCTTTCTGGTGCTTTTATGGATTGTTCTCCTAACTTTCTTTTGGTTTAAAAATAACAATAAACATATCTCTAAGTAAAAACTCTTGAAATGTACTTTTCTTGAAACATTTCCGAAATACGGAGGAAAGGTTACACAAAGTCCCTTTTCATCGTTGACGTGTGTATTTATTTTTTATTCTAGCCGAGTCTGTATTTACTTAAACGTAGGAATCTTCCACACATCAAACCGAAATTTGACAGAGTAGGCATGTGACATTCACATGTTTGATCAGGAATTAATTTTGGGCATAATACCTGCTAGAAATTCCACTTCTCTTTTTCCTGGGTATGAAAGTGTCCAAAGCTGTCCTGCCTCTTTGCCCTGGTTCCAGAAAAACTCTTTTAAATCTGTCCTTGAAATTAGGAGGTGGACACGAACAGGAACACCCCAGTTCAGTGTGCAGTTAGTTGAAGTAGCTATTGACTGCATGAATACATCTCTCTTGTGCAGCTACCTTTACCCTGAGGAGAAGTTCAAGTACAACGCCCTCCCACCATGGAACATTACTTTTCTGAAAGGTTCTTATATCTAGGGGTAACCCAGCTCCGCCCAATTCCCCTAGCAGAGCTTCTTGTTTGACCCTCAGTTTGGCTTATGAACCTGGTAGCTAAAAAGCTGTTAGAACAGGCAGTCAATGGTTTAGTCACAATCACTGAGCCGACAAACTGGAGTTGGCAGTGAAGTCTTGTACCAAAATGATATAATATTTTTGACATCTTTATGAGCTGCAAAAGGAATTTTGTCATCATTTGACAAAGACAGTCATGCCTTTTATGCACTTGAATCACAAAACTATGTGTAGGAAACGGCAACAAGTCACATATTTATTCTAGGTGGTGCCGAGCCCCATGTGAAGCTTTGACTGAGCATGATAACCAATAGAGGAGACGTGTTTTGCCCCGTATGTGGCAAATAAAATATCTCCTCTATTGGTTAGAGAACAGCTTAGTACAAGAACAGATCTTTCTCTGGGAAAAAAGAATAGCACAGATTAAAACCCCCAATAAAATCCAACTCAAATAAATGAAGGGCAGGAATACAATAAGCAGGAAATGTAAAATCTAAGCCTATAAAAAGTAAATGCAAAATGCCTCAGAATTGGCCGAAACAAATCAGCATGAGAGATGTTCTCCAATTACTGGAACCACCTCATGTACACTCCCTGGGCCCTGTTCTTGAGAGGCATTTCATTCTGAGAGGGCAAATAATCTCCAGTAAATCCGTAGATACAAACCTTTCTTATTCTAGCAAGAGTCACCAGCAGGCCACAAGGTTAATTCCACCATTCTACAAGAAAAAATGCTTTCTAATTGGCCGTCTGTAAAGAGTGCAGGAAAACTTTTGTAAGGTTTGTCTTTACGAAACATAACAGACTTACATTGGATCCATATCGGAAAACACACTAGACCACAGGTATTTCAAATTCATACAAGATTGAATTTGTCCTGTGAAAAGCTGGACAACTGGGTCTCCATCTGTGTGTTCAGGTCCTGAAACTCGGTCAACCCGAGATCAGAGAACCTATCGAAGATAAAAAATAAAACTCGAAAAATAAAACTTAAGGTACTCTAGGTAGAAAAACAATTCTTGGTTTGCAGCAATAATTCGTTTTAAAGAAGAGAATTTCTTTCCCTTACTTTGGATCATAGAACATTAATATCTTAAATGTGGGTTTTGAAGTGAAGCTAGTAGTGTAATTATGTTGTTGTAAAAGGCAAGCAAAGCATTCATACTTAGTTGTCATGTGCTCCCAGTTTTGACATTTTTATGAGCTGCAGGACATTCTACCATAACAGAAATGTGTAGATTTATAGTGTGAGAGAGGAAATGGTCACATTTGGGATTGTTAAGACCAATTATCAACCAGAAAAAAAGACCTTTTTCAGCCACTTATAAAACAAAAATCTACATGTATACAAACCTAATACCTTATATGGCCAAAATAAAAAATCCTTGTGATGTCCACATCATCCCTTTTCTGTGCAGCCCTTTCCAATTATTTTAATGTCGCCAAAGTGCAGTCATAGACAGTAATACCAGAAAGATGCATCAATAAATTCTACAAGGAAATGAAATACACAAGATTATAGAAGAATTAAAATGATAAATGAAAAATACATCACACGTCTTACTGTCCCACTCATAAGTTATTCTGTACAAACGTACAATCAGCATGAAGAAAACAGAAGTTTTTGTATCTGCTTAAATATACAGAGAACAGTTCTATAAAAAGCTTCAAATACAGTATAAAGCAGTAAGAAAAATAAGCATCCTGGAAAAAGGTTACCAATGGAAGAGCTCTCACTGCTTCTGAAAGATGAAAGTTTTGGCACTTGACAAAAATGGTTATACAAGACCATCACTACTCAGAACAACACGGTCATTACCATCACTTTGTGATAAGACTTGGTTTTTCTCTTCATTCCATAACTGCGAAAAAAACTACATTCCTTAATCTCATTTTAACACATAACTATCTAACAACAGCTCTAGAACTTCTTTCAGTAAAATATGCACAACAATTAAACTTAAATGACCAAATAAATGACAGAATGAGATTAAATGACGTCATTCCAAAGTACAACTTGCTGGTTTTAATGTTTAATTAGTTCTTAATCACTGATGTGTCTTTCTGTTTTACTGTACAGATTTTTCCAGAACTACAGATCATGTCAGAGTAGAACATGGGGACTATTTAACCACTTCAGCCAAATCTCATCATGAAAAAGCAGCTTCTTTTATGGCTCTCCGTTGTTCGAATGACAGAACCGTGCCGTGATCAAGACATTTGTCCACAGACGAAACAGCCAGGAATTCCAGTTCACTCCCAGACACCGGGAGATACCGCTGGCTTTACATGACCAGGTGTAGCCCCCCGTCAACAACGACCACTTGGCCGGTCACATACAGGGACTCAAGGAGAAAGAGGACAGCCTGGGCCACCTCCCTAGGCTCCCCAAAACGTCCCAATGGGATCTTCTTCCTCAATTCCTCTTCCTTCAGTTCCGCTGTCATGTCCGTGTGGATGAAACCTGCGGACAACAGGAACAACAAAGTTCTTTTACAGGAAGACATCCACACAGTGGTGTATTTCACGACCCGACACAGAATGCATCCAGCTCCACACTAATCTCCATATTTTCAGAAACGTCTTAAAGAAGGGCGTGACAGCATAGTCTTTGACATCCGTTTTGATCCCTGGCTCAAGAAACCCATGATGGAAGTAAACAAAGATGATGTAAGGAAATGTATGTGAGAAAGTCTAGCGAAGAGGCTTAAATTCTCAAGAGCTTAAAACTGCATTTGAAAAAGTAAAAAAAGAAAGGCTTTCTGTTACTCTTTAAATGACAGTGGAAACAGCGTAAGATTTATTTATGGCAGCAAAGGAGAGGTAGTGATAGGAATCCTTTTGCCCCAAAAAGCACTTTAAACAATATTAAGAAAACCAAAAAATAAGTACAGAAAATATTTCAAACACCAGGTACATAATGTGACATCAGTTGAAGAAATACAACCATTACATTTGTTAAAAATTGTTCTTATAGGCCATGAGCTATGAGCATTATGAGCAGTTAAAAAGTTCAGAAAACACTAATGTCTTTTGATTACAAGAAGACGTGAATTACCTGGAGCAACCAGATTGACACGAATATTTCTTCCGGCAACTTCTTTGGCGAGAGAGCGTGTGAATCCCTCCAGTCCTGCCTTACTGGCACTGTATGCGCACTGGCCAGCATTGCCCTTTAGACCAACAACACTGCCTATAGGAAATACACAAGCTCAGGATCAACTGGGTCTTCATTAATCCCAGAGAAATTGCTCTGTAAGTATGGTCAATAGATGCTGGGAAACTACATTTGATGGTAGGGAACAGAAAACAGTCCTTCAATATATTAACTGTAAAATGACAATCCAGAATAATTACTGTATGAATAGACTGTTAAAGGTTTAAAAGTGTCTGTTTTTATTTAAAAAAAGAAAACTAAATTGTGGACAACCAAACCGCAGGCCCTCACTTAAACCTAAAGACAGTTTTTTTTTGCAAAGGTAGTTGATTAAGCCCTGATTGCAGAATGGGCACTTTGGAGAAGTTGCTTCACAGAGAAAAGGTCTCAGCATTACTTTGATTACAAATATTAAGAAAGAAGAGATAGCAGTTTCTAATTATTGGCTTTAAGCACCACCTTGTGGTGCCTTTATGAAAGTTCAATGACTCAGGCTTGGATTTAGGAATCCAATACAATCTGGGAACACAAAAAACATAACCCATAAATACTACTAAGGGCCATTATACTATTAAGATTCAAATGGTAAAAAGCAATAATTTTAGACATTTTAACTAAATCAAAACATGTAGAATGGTTATTATGTTAAAACTGTCTCTTAAATGATTCAAAATTAGTTTCTTCTCAAAAACGCACTAAAGTATTACACACACACACCTAGGGCCAATTCTCCCAGAAGCCAATTAATCTACCAGCATGTTTTTGGACTGTGGGAGGAAACCAGAGCGCTTGCAGGAAACCCACGTGAACATGAGGAGAATATACAAACTCCACACAGACAGCACCTCAGCAAGGCAGCAATGCTAACTACTGCACTGCAGTCCCCTATTACTCCACAAGTTGACAATTCAGTCATTGTAACAGATATTCCTTAGTCCACATTTTAGAGGACTATGATTATTAAGGTGTTAATATATAGTGAGAAGCTCCACCAGAGTCTCTTTATTGTTGACAAAAGGGTTGAAATAGGATGTCCATGTGGTCTATCATACAGACAGTGAATACTAACCTATATTTACAATGGCACCTCCTTGGTTGTGAAGCATCCCTTTCAAAGCACTTCTGCAGGTAAGCATTGCACCTAGCAGGTTTGTGTGTAGCAGTGTGACTATGTCATCTGTCTTCATCCGTAGCAAGAGGCCATCCCTGCAACACAAGAGAGACACACTTTTCTCTCCACTTTTCTGGAAAGTTTCAGAGTAAACCAGTTTTTCAGAAAAAAAGATGTACAGGAAAAAGGACGTTAAACTCTAAGAATGTCTACTGCCTCAATATGTACTGCACTGTGTTAAATGTGTTATATTAGTAATAATTAAAAATAATTTAATCCCACAAAGTTAACAAAACATAGGTTAGCAGACTCAGGGGAAGCTTAATGATGTCTGCCATTGAATTCTAACTGAGGCAGAACAACATGTTCCAATATCATTACAATTCACATATGCATTTCACATAATAAATAACAAACTACTGAAAGACATGTACAGTGATAAAAGGCTAAAAGGCTGAAATGTCAAATGCTCACCCTGCTCTTTGAGCACAGTATGGTGTTATCGACTCACTCGCCAACATTTACTTTCACGAATAAAAGTCTCAGACTGAATTATAGCAATTTTGACACAGGCAAAAAAAAAAAAACACAAACAAACCTGTTAACACCAGCTGCATTGACCAGGTAGTTAATACTACCGCAGTGAGACTGAATCTTCTCAAATGTCTTCAAAACTTCCTGTTCCTTTGAAACATCACAACTGAGTGCAATGTGCTCACCTGGGTAAAAAATGTTAACAGTTAATATATTATACTGTAAAATATTAAACATTTAGCTTAATCCTGTATGCTACTCTGTATTAATAATCAGTGGCCTACTATATTGATACAATTCAGAAATACATTAGCATTGAATGCTGAAAATGATTTTTTTCTAGAAACCAGTGTCCTAACTAGTTTCCAACCTATGTATTGAGGTGACTACTGTGTTGTCTTATTTTTTGCTCCAGTCAAGTTCTTAATTACAGGCGACTTGATTCAAATGTCTTTTTAATGTGCTTTCAGATCTTAAAAGGTCAAACAGCATGTTTGAACTGCCCTTGGTCAGGTGTGCTGCCTGAAACATAACCGAGTGGACCTCTGCAGAAGGAGAAAACACTGGTTTCATTGTCGGTGTGGTTAATCCATTAACATTCCCTCCTCTGTCTAATCACCATACATTGTTCACCTATTAAATGCTGATAAGTCAGAAACATGCTGTATGTAAGCTAGCTGAGGACAGGCTGATAAAGTTCAATATCTATATTAAGTCAGCAGCCATATCACCCTGCAATTCACAACTGGCAGCCCACTGAAGCTCAGCAGGTGTCAGCCTGGCCAGTACCTGGATGGGAGACCTCCTGGGAAAAGCTAAGGTTGCTGCTGGAAGAGGTGTTAGAGGGGCCAGTAGGGGGCGCTCACCCTGTGGTCCGTGTGGGTCCTAATGCCCCAGTATAGTGACGGGGACACTGTACTGTAAAAAGGGCGGTCCTTCGGATGAGTAGTAAAACCGAGGTCCTGACTCTGTGGTCATTAAAAATCCCAGGGTGTTTCTCGAAAAGAGTAGGGGTGTTACCCAGGTGTCCTGGCCAAATTTCCCACTGGCCTTTACCAATAATGGCCTCCTAATAATCCCCATCTATGAACTGGCTTCATCACTCTGTTCTCCTCCCCACTGATAGCTGCCATCACACCATCCAGGTGGATGCCACACATTGATGGTGGTGGAGGGGAGTCTCCATTACCTGTAAAGCGCTTTGAGTGGAGTGTCCAGAAAAGCTCTATATAAGTGTAAGGAATTATTATTATTATTATTATTATTATATGCTGATCCTGTGGGAAACTGTAGCTTTGTACTAAAGTATTTTTCTAACTCAAGACTGACTGCAAAATCACATTAACAGAAAATGTGAACAAACATGCAAGTCACTTAAAATAATCAATAAGCACTGGATAAACAGTCATATAAACAAGCAGACACAGTAGTACAGGGCTTAGGAACCAGTGCCCTAAAACACGACAAGATATGAGCTTTGACTAGACCCATACAGACACCCGTGTCTGAACTCCAAGCACTGCACTGAGCTGCAGGCTGTGAGTATGTAACTGGTAACACTCCAAAATTACATGCATGGATATACTGGGCTTCAGTGAGGTACTTTACTTCAGTTGCTGCTGTGCAGCAGCATTGCTGGGGATGGGCTCAGTGATGGATTGGTGTTCCATCGGGAGGGGGGAGTCATGTGCTCTCTGTTCGCGTAAAGCCATGGAAACCAGGATAAGGATAAGAGCCGCTGCAGCTCAGAAATGGACATTGCCCACATACACTTCGAAAGTGAGTAAGGGCAGTGTAAACATATAAAAGGACTGCCTGAAGTACTACTCCTCAACCCAAACAACGTTTTTGAAAAGGAACTTTGAAATGAATAATAATAACAAAGACATACTCCCCAGAGCAGAGGCCGTGGCCTGAGCAGCCTCCATATTTCGTGCGACGACAACGACTCTGTGCCCCTTCTCGGCAAGCAGCTGTGCCACCGCCCTCCCAATACCTCTGGATCCTCCGAACACTGCGCACACGCTGGGCATTCTTGCCTGCAGAAGACGGACACATGGATACAGGAGACTGGCCAAGGGGATCTCAGCCCTTCCCAGGGGACAAGAAAGAGGGATAACAGCCAATGTTCCCTCTAAGCTGTGCGCATGTGCGCGCGCGCACACAGGTTAGGAAATCAGCGCGCATGGGAAATTGAACTGCGCACAAAAAATTAAATAAGATCATAATAAAACAAACACAGTCGTCAATTGAAAATGCTAAACTGACCACACGAGACTGGCTGCAAGAGGCCCAACTTGGCTGTGTGCATCATTATTGCTACTGGATAATCGATATCTATGCTCTTGTAGTCTCGTTCCTCACTGCTCATGCTCGCTCGACACTCAGTCTCTATGACTGGGCTCGTTGAATCGTTGTCCTGGTCTTTTGGATCTCTATGCTTCTATGAGAATGACTATATTAACAAAAAATAATTTCAGGTTTACAATTTTACATCCAATCAAATTTAGTGCGCATAAGTTTTTGTGCACAACTTGCAATTTTTGCCCACACAGGCCATTAAAAATTAGATGGAACATTGATCACAGCCCATTCCGAGCAACCAAGGGCTCAGAATGAACGTCTCAGCCCAAGAGTGGGCTCGGCCCCCACAATGCACTGCAACTGGTGCACGTGTACAGGTGTCGTCAAGGCAACACCATTGGTAACAATAACCACATTGGAAATGAGCTAGTGGGAACAAGGGGAAACTCATTAAATAAAAGGTTGGGGAGTTTAAAAGTTCACAGGGATGTGGGATAAGAGGGCTTTCCATTAGCTCCAAAAAGCTTCATTCTTTGGGTATTTATTTAT